TTAATTAGAATTTTTATATCTAATCGCCAGATTATGATTAGATTAAGAAAATTTTTATATCTGACTATAATATAGTTAAAAACCAGATAATTAATTATTTTAATTATTCTTAGTATTAAGATCTATCTGCTATATCTTTTTAAGCTCTAATATAATTAAGATATATTTAGATTAAATAATTATTAATCTGATTATTTTTATTATTATCTAAAAATATATAAAAAGAAGCTTTTTAAATTAAAAAAATATAATTAAAAAAGAAATTAGTATCTTCTTTATTACTATTTATTAGAAATAATAAGAAAATTCTAATTATATTAATAAAATTCAGCTTTTTAGAAAATTATTATTTTTATAATAAGAAATATATATAAAAATATATAATTATTACTCTATTTTAGTTATATATTTTAATTATATTATAAAATATTAGAAAATTATATATTAATTATTAATTAAAATATTAAAAATAAATATATTATTTTTATTCTACTATTTCTTCTGAATCAGACTATTTTTAAATTTATAAATAAAATATAGCTTAAAAAGCTATTAATAGAATTAGAAACTAATAGATAATTAAAAAAATTATAAATAATTAGATTATTAAAATAAAGCAGATTAAATAGATTAAATAGATTAAATAAATTAAATAGATTAAATAAATAAAATAAATAAATAAAATATACTAGATCTGTATTATAATATTATAGCTTTTATAAAAAATTTTATAAAAGTTTTTTATAAATTTTTTTTATAAATATCTATTTTTTATTCTAGTTTATTATATCTTAAGCAGCTCTGTTTAAGAGAAGAAATTATTTTATAATTTTAAACTTTAGATATAAATTTCTGCTTATTAAATTTATTAAAATAAATAAAATATAATAAATATCTTAGCTGTATATTAAAATATAATAGATTATATTTATATAAAATTATATCTTAAAATAAAATAAACTATTTTTATAGAGTTTTTTATTTTTATTTTTTTATATTTATTATTTATAAAACAGCTTTAAAATTATAAATTAATTATAATTATCTAATTTATTTTTAAAAAATATTACTAAGTCTTCTTTTTTTATTTTTTAGATTTTTATAAATTATAATAATATCTAAACTAAAATAAACTTTTTAAGTCAGATCTTTTCTTCTTTTTTAAATCTTAAGATTATATATATTATAAAAAATCAGAAGATTATTTTATATTTAATTTTTTAAAAAAAACTTTTTATTTTTTAGAATTAATAGCAGAAGATAATCTTTTCTAAAGATTATATATAAATTAAAAAATTATTATTTTACTTTAATTAAGAAAAGTTATTAATAATATAAGATAGTTTTTAAAAAGATATATTATTTTCTGATAAAATCTCTTATATTTATTATATTATATATTTTTATATTTTATAATATCTAAGAATTAAAAACTCAGAAACTAGTTCTATAAGCTATTATTTCTATAAAAATTATATAAAAAAATTATTATTAGTTATATTTAAGTAAATAATTAATTAAATATTAAATAAAGAATTATTATAGATATTTATTTATTTTTTTAAAATAAATTTTTTTTAATTATTATTTTTCTCTAGATCTCTATAATTTATAATAAATAAGATTTTTAAAATTAAATTTTATATTTTATAATTATCTATTATTTATTATTCTAAATTATTAAGTATATTTAATTTAAATAGATAATTAATCTTATTATTTTATCTTTCTACTAAAAATTAAGTTTTTGTAATTAAATATAAATTAAAAAATATTTTATAAAATTATCTAAAGAGATATATATATAGCTGCTATTAAAATTCTTAAATATTAAATAAATATTAATTATAATAGATTACTAAATCAGCTTTAATCAGAAAATATTTTTTAATTTAATTAAATATTTTTTAATAAAAAATATAGATTATTATAAGATTTTGCTAGATTTTTAATTAATATCTAGATCTTATATTAATAAAAATTTAATTATAATTATTTTATTAATCTTATATAAATATAATCTTATTTATTAATTATTAGATATAATAATTAATAATACTAGTAATAATAATATAATATTTAATATAATCTCAGCTGAACTTTAAATTTAACTTAATTAAAATATTTAATTTTATAATATTCTAGTTAATTTTAATTTTTTAAAAATTATTTAAAGCTAATATTATATTTTCTATTTTATTTATATAATTTAGTTTATAATTAATACTCTTCTGCGGAAATTTTTGATTAAGATCTTAAATAATATTATTAAATATATATAAAAAAATAATAATAGAAATTTTAAAGTTTTTTTTAATATTTTAAAAATTTTTAAGAAAATATATTCTAAAAGCTGTCTGTAAAAAATTAATATAGAATTTTTTTTTATAAAAAGTTTTTAAAAATCTTTTATCACCTAGTTTATTATATTAATTCTTAATTATAGATTTAGAAGATTATATAATTTATAAATATAAATTTTTAATATTATAAGAAGTTTTTATTTATTTAATAATATAAATCTAACTTAGTTTATTATTTTCTTTTTAATTATAAAATTTACTGAAACTTAATTTATCTTATAATTTATTAAATACTTAATTTTTATTAAATAATTAAAAGTTTTATTCAGTATTATAAATATAATAATATTAATTATTTTTATTTTATTTTAATTAAATAAAAATAAATAAAATATTTTCTTAAGTTTTTATATTTTTTTTTTTTATTTTCTATCTTTCTAAGAATAATAAATCTATTATTTATAAAATCTATAATATTTATAATAATCTCTTTGATTATCTGAATCACTTAATTAATAAACTAAAAAAAAATAGATATTTTAAAAAAAAAATTCTTAAAAATTTATATAATATATATTAAAAGCTCTGAAAATATTATTATTATATTTATTAAATAAAAGACTATATTTATATAATTATAATTATTTTAAATCTGATATTAAAGCTTAAGAAGTTTAAGAAAGATATATAATTAAATAATAATATTAATTAATATTATAAATATTAAATTATTTTTAAGAAGATATTCTTTTTTTATTTTAATTAAAATTTAATAATTAATATATTATTAATAATCTCTAGATTATTATCAGATCTAAATAAAATTTTTTATAATATTTTTAAATATCAGAGACTCTTACTTATAATTAAGATATATAAAAAACTTAAAATATATTTAGATATTAAAAATATATAGTTTTTTAAGATATTTTTAATTAAATTAATATAATTCTAAATATTATAGAGTATATTAATATTCTTATTTATTAAAAATTTTATTATAATCAGTTTTCTATTCTTTATTAGATAGCTAGAGATTTTCTCTTAATTATAATTAATAATATTAGTATTAAATATTTTTTTAATAATTCTTAAGATAGCTATTATTATTACTAGAGCTATCTTAATTCTAATATAATTAAAATAGTTATATTTTAAATATATATTAATTATTTTATTATAAATAAAAAATATTAGAATATACTTAATAATATTAATTTAGATTTAATTATTTTTATATTTAAAAAATAAAAAAAAATAAGATAATTACTATCTTCTATATTAATAAGAATAAAAATATAGATAATTTTAAAAATAATTTAAAAAATAAATTATTATTAGAATTAAAAAAACTAGTCTTATCTAAATCTTTAATTATTATATATATTTAGATAAAGATAGAGATTCAATCTTTATAATTTTTATATTATTATAATTATTATTTTAAATAATATAAAAAATAAATATTCTGTATTTTTTCTTATTTTTTTTATATTAAATTTTATAAAAGTCTTTTTTAGAGTATAATTTATCTCTTAAAATAATTAATTAAGCAGATCAAGTAGTAGACTATATCTAAAAAATATTATTATATTTATACTATAATTAAATATATATTATACTTTATATATTATTTATATAAAAAGAATATATATATTATAAATTAATCTGTAATTATTAATTTATCTACTATATCTACTATATCTAATCTTTCTGATTAGCAGATATAAATAATTATAATAATAATTATATCTTAATCTGATCACCAGATTATGGCCAGGTTAAGGTTAAGGTATAATAGTCAGGTTAAGCCACTCTACAGGTAACAGAGATAAGCTCTTTAATAATAGAAAAATATATTCAATAAAATAATTAAAAATGAAGAAATTATTCTGAACTAATCTAAAAATATATTATCAGAAATATAGCACTTCTATATATAATATATAAATCTATAAAATAAATAGTATAATTATTAGTAAAGATTAACTAACTAGACTAAAGATAACACTATCTGACTACCCAGGCTACAGAAGGCGGCATGAACTAATCATACAGATCTGTAAGATATTAACTAAATCTATAATATATTTTATAATATTTTACTACTATTTATTATTTACTAAGAATTTAATATTTAATTTCTATATTTATTTTCTTTAATTAAATTTAATAATAATAATAAAAGAAGAAGTATATATATATATATATATATATATGTATTATAATAAAGCTATAATTTTAGGATTTTTTTAAAAAAAAGTAAAAAAAAGATTATATAATACTCTACTCTATATTTAATAATATATATTAAAAAAAATTATTAGAATTTTTATTATTATTATTAAATTTAGAGAAAGCTGATATAATAAAGTAAGATCTTGTTATAATACATCTAGTGTGTTGTAGTTTTAGGCAGTCCCGATCTGTAGCAGGCAGGAGCAGGAATGTAGCAACTGTATGATGAAGCCATGACAACCACTTACAAACTAGTTTAGATGTATTACAATTAAATAAATATACTTATATAAATAGCATTCAATATATTCAAATAGAGGTATATTAAAAAATACTAGAATCATGGTTACTAAGTATATACGTGGAGTGTTCTACCTACAATAATTTCGACATCTCCCATGGTAATAAGTAGTATTGATACTCACCTCCCAAGACCAAGGCAACACACCTCCGTACTGCCTCGTGACTTGCACACCACGGAGCCCCGTGTTCCTATTTGCTATATCCGACATGGAGTATTTATCTTCAACTCACTCTCAATGAATTCGATGAACGAACAGCGCCAAGTCAGACATCATAATCTGGGCTTTGGAAACTCCCTTCAAATCTGCTTCCAGTAATGACATGTCCGAGGCGTCCATTTACGTGTGTCTGGAGTTGCAGCCTTCATCTAGATGAACCCAATTGCTACCGTCGACTGAACACATAAAGACGCTATATCTAGGGGCTCTCTTGGCTTCCTCTCGTTAGGTTGCCATAAACCGCCATTGGTTCTACAAATCTTCTATATCAGTTTCTGCCCTTTCCGCCTAATCGGCGTGCTCTTCCAGGCCCAGTCCACCAAAGCGGACGCCGACCACTTCCTCGTTGTTGTCACATCTTTTTATCGAAATGTCTTCAACAACTACAGGTTCTTCCTCAAATGCTACTAATGCAGATCACAACGGAAGCAGCAGCACAAGTCCTACAAGCTCGCCACTCCTGTTTTTCGTCGCCTTAGGATTTGGTGTTGTCTTCACCAATCTATGGTATGTTCAAGTCGGTATCACTTGTTCCCTGCGGTTTGTTTCTGCGTACCTGACCTCTATACTTTAGGATCATCGTTGGAGTAAAATATTGTTTTCGGTATAACCAGCGCAATCGCCAGATGCGCGGCGAGGAAGCGGGCGAGCCCATTGATCTGGTAGCCATGCCCCGAGCACATCGAAGACGACGGGAAAAGAAGTTGATGAGCATGGATGATGTGAACGAAAGATTTCCACTTATTAAATACAAGGCATGGAGGTCATCACGTGCGAATGAAGGACTCTCCACCGCAGGGGGAATATCAGCGCCGAATAGTACGTCGCAGAGTATGAAAGACGATGATTGTCTACCGCCTGCTTTTCAAGCTCCTTCATCCATCATGATGTCGCCGCTTAAGGGTCACCAGCGTGTTGACTCTACAACGTCGGACGTTCCTGCACCGTTGGAACACTTCGCGACAACACTACCGCTCCCTGGGAAGAATCCGAGAGATCCCGAACCTGGCCACTCGGGGTCTCAACTCAACGACAATGTCAACGAGACAACAGCAGATGAACCTCGTAACTACGAACTCAATCATGTTATTGTAGATGACATTGGGGAGGACGCCGCGGAAATCGAAGACCATATTCTCACTGCTGCACCTGCTCAGCTCCTGGGAAATCCCGGAGACACATGTGCTATCTGTCTTGATACTATTGAAGATGACGATGATATACGTGGACTTACATGTGGACATGCGTTTCATGCTTCCTGTGTTGACCCATGGTTGACAAGCCGGCGGGCTTGCTGTCCTCTATGCAAGGCGGACTACTACATCCCGAAGCCTCGCACAGAAGCTTGCGGTTCGGTCCCTAGCTCAGAACGCCCTAGTCGTCGTGTCATGACACGCGCGTCAAATCCAAGTCAACCCCAAGCTGTCTTCATAGGTGGGCGAGTTAATATTCTGCGGTCCCCGTTGGCTTTGCCAGAAAGGCGTGTGCACCAGTCCCATCAAACCAACAGAACTGGCTTCTCTAGGTTGCGTTTTTGGCGATCACGCGATTCTAACAACCGGCCAACTTCTACTATGCTCGATGTGTCGCCTGACCAGTCTGGTAATAGGACACGGACGCCATCCTCCATGCGGCATTTTGGCTGGAATTTTAGTTTCGGAGGAAATCGAGCGTCTTCAAGAGATGTCACACGAAGTACTGATACTCCGCGCTCGCATGATGATAGAACTCCCGAACAACTGGAGGCCGGACCTACTCCTTGAGTAGTACCCAACTAGTCACTAATGAGAGCCGCATTGATTGCATATGTCAAACATGTGTTTGTCACACTCATCGATATCTGGAATGTCGATTTGCGAAAGCGTGCTAGACACGCCCACTGCTGTGTATAATACTTTCATGTGTTTAACCTATTAAAACCTAGATCCCTCCTTTTTGTTCAATTGCCAAGGATTCTTGAACTTCTTGTTTAAGCTTTTCCTTTTGCCGAGGCTTATTTGACGGTGTCAAACAGTGAATGAATTGGTTCTAGATGACATCCAGCGTAAAGAACTGATGTTATTGGGCCTTTAGCGGGTAACAAAAGCATCCCTCAATTAATTTCACATTCACCGCACCTATCTCCTCACCACTAGCACATCTTATAGACACACCCCAGCCTGTATGTGCTTCTTTTTATGGCCTATACTTAGCAAATCTTCATCGCTGTCTTATCTTGTCTGTTCTTTTAATCAAACCTGAATGGTAGCTAGGCCTGCAAGTAGCCTTTTACAATTATTTCATTCGATTCTTTATTTTGGTTAAAGATTTTTTTTTTTTTTTTTCTAAATTTCAATATATAATATAGTGATTTATGTAGGCCAGGATTATAAATAGTCCAACGCTTTATTTAGATAAAGAGAAAAGCAATCTTTCCCGGGCACTTAGCGGCTTGAGCCTCCTCCCTAGATAATCTGTGATGGGATTGTAGCCTTCTGCAGCTTAGTTGGTCATGTGATATTAACTAACCCAAAACAGATGGGATGTGATAAGAAGTCAGCCAGTCAAGTAAGCACTATCAGTCATCAAAGTGCGATGGTTATAGGTATCATTTGAATGAGTTCCAAATATTGCCTTGCATCTATACACATTGCACCATGTCTTTCTCTAACCTCGTCTCTGATCTTGCGTTTAGAGATGTCCAAGATGATCGGAGTTCTCAGATTTCTCATGCTCGATCACAAGCCACTGCACGATCTTATACCAGCACAGCTGCAACAAGTGTCAGCATATCAGGCGACATATCCAGTCAACTCCATTCTGGCTATAGCCACCCCTTGAGTAGATCATGGCAAGCCGAGAAGCAATTAACTAAGGTTTGCACACTGATGCATTCTTTCACCACACTCTAACCCCTCTGCAGGAGATGCTTATCTACCCGCTTTTTATAACCGACAGTCCTGATGAAGAGACTCCTATTCCATCTCTTCCGAACCAAAGCCGCCGAGGGTTGAATCGTTTGGTACCATTCTTGAGGCCTATGGTCCAGAAGGGATTGCGCTCTGTCATTCTGTTTGGGGTCCCACTGCACCCATCTGCGAAGGATGCACTGGGAACAGCGGCAGACGACCCGACTGGACCGGTGGTTCAGGCTATCCGTCTTCTTCGGTCACGATTCCCGCAACTTTATATTGTTACTGATGTTTGCCTCTGTGAATATACCTCGCATGGCCATTGCGGGATCCTTCGTGAAGATGGGACACTAGACAATGCCCAATCTGTTGATCGGATTTCGGATGTTGCCTTAGCCTATGCTGCTGCGGGTGCTCACTGCGTGGCCCCGTCCGACATGAATGATGGGAGAGTCCGTGCCATAAAGTTAAAGCTGATCGAAGCTGGCTTTGCCCATCGTGTTCTTTTGATGTCCTACAGTGCTAAGTTCAGCGGATGTCTCTATGGCCCCTTCCGCGACGCTGCAGGTTCTTGCCCATCTTTTGGAGACCGTCGTTGTTACCAACTTCCACCAGGTGGTCGAGGTCTTGCTCGGCGAGCGATACAGAGGGACCTAGGCGAGGGGGCAGACATTATAATGGTAAAACCTGCAAGCAGCTACCTGGATATCATCAGGGATGCAAAGGAGCTTGCAAAAGATATGCCTGTGGCTGCTTATCAGGTTAGCGGTGAATATGCCATGATACACGCTGGGGCTAAGGCTGGCGTTTTCGATCTGAAAGCCATGGCCTTTGAGAGTACGGAGGGTATATTGCGGGCTGGTGCTGGTATCATAGTGAGTTACTTTGTTCCTGAATTTCTGGACTGGCTTTCATAAGCATGTCTTTTACATTTAGCTCAAACTGTCACATCACCAGTGGGCTTTCCCTCTGTTTAATTCTGACAACAAGCAAAATGAATGTATGAAATTTGTCACCAGAACAGAGTAGACTGTGGAACAATTATTTGGCAAGAGTTTCACTCCAATAAAACATGTAGCCGCGTGGTATTTTGATCAAATCTTATGTGCTATTCTCTATCTTTGTATTTGATCTTATATAACTGTAAACAAACTTAATAGGCACCTTGCACGAATGTTGAACACGACAGTGTAACCGGGAATCGATTCAAAAGAGGTCACCATTGCACAGCTACTAGTAAGCTGATTAGGAGCTAGAATGCTTGGACATATGCATGACACATACCCTCTATTGTATAGTAATCCATGTAGTCAACTTAATATTCAAAGAATAACTATCAATAAGTAGATGAGGATATCCTGGTATTTTATGCAACCCCAAATATACAATGACTAAAGTCAGGTCTTTTAGCTCGCATGTCATAGAGAATGCTATATAGTTACAAGATTACCAAATAGTGGAATAACAGATGGTTGCGTACACAACCAAACCCCCATATTGAATATACTAGCAGATGTTCACACACGCAGTCACATGTAACTCGGCTTCAGGCCCTGGAAGCCATAAGCTACAATATCGGACTTTACTATTTCCCCTGGAGCAACATACGCCCCGCGTCGGAGGCGGACACCAGGATAGATTGTACAGCCGGCACCAACATAGCAATCCTCCTCAATTGTAACAGGGCGCCCTTGGTAGCGACTTTGTGAGCCTTTGCGTTCTTGCATATTTGCATGGGCCATTGAAGTGAGTATGGTTACCCTGGGCCCGATCCACGTATGAGCACCAATGGTAATGCGGCAATCGTCGATAAAAAAGCAATTATCTGATACCAAAACGTCTTCGCCGATATGCACATTATATCCGTAATGGCAGTAGAAAGGGGCCTCGACAATGGCGCCCTGGCCTATAGATCCTGCAGAACGGGATGATGCCACACCAGAAGGCGATTTAATGACCGAACCCGGAGGAACGAGCACCTCCTTTAGCAGTCGACTTTGCTCTTTCGTGCTTAACCCAGAGACCGGATTGGAGGCGTTGTTAAATCGCCATATGGCGGCTTTACAGCGGTCCCTCTCCTCAACAAGGTGCACGTCGTAAGGCCTATAAAGTTCCCCGCGTATCATTTTATCCTTTTCCGTATCTTCAGTAGACAATGTGCGCGTAGATAGCTGATGTTCGATGCTGAGAGCCATCCGTGCCTGGGCTTGGGGGCTAGTGGTATCCATATTCCCAGAGTGTGCTGGTCGTTGGTCAATTCCACCTTGAAAAATCGGCACGCCCGGTTTCGAATGGCTACCATGCGAAAGCTCCCTAATCGGAGGCACAATTGGAAAATCAGACTTCGCATGGCCTTCCCGAGATAACTCATGGATTGAAGGGACTTCTCGGTAATCAGATTTTGCCACGTGATCAGCTATATAGGTAGGGTGGCTTGTGCCTCCCCAGGGTCGTTTGGACCAAGGACCACGACTGGACCCAGTCCCTGTCGGGCTCGTGTTGTATTGAGAAGTTGCGCGGTCGGTTTCATCGGCAACAATTGGCCTCATCTTCGCCGAGTCTAGTGGTTCTGTCAATGTTTGTGACCGGTCATGCTGCTGGTTTATATCGTGCACATATTGGGCGTTGACATCCAGATAACCCTCTTTTGATTGCAAGGGAACTGGAGCTTTAGAGCTCGAAGGCTTTTGCCAGGTGCTTCGCGATGAGTAGCCCTCACAAAGGAAGCCTCCCCTAATACAATTGTTGCCTGCAGCGATTTTAGTGTTAGACAGCACGCCGCCGTACCTTACACAGTACGATAGTGCTGAAGACTTACAAGCAGGATGCTGTTCGTCGCACTTCTTCTTCCTTCTGCGGCAAGTCATGCAGCCGGTTTTAGTTCGATTGCTGAAAACTCGTTTCCTCTTCGGTGCGACTTGCATCGCCGACTGTGGACGCTCTTGGGAAACAGTGGATAATGAGGGTGGGTGTTCGTTTTGTGCAGCGCCCTCTGTTGGTCGACTACTGCTGTTCCAGGTCTTTTGAGATGTATCATGGGCATTCGCCTCGCGTTGGAGTGCCTCCGCTAGTTGAACATCAGAAGCATCAAACTGTTGCGCACGCTGAGCTTGATGTACTAGCTGGGAATCATATTCATGCCAGGTCGTGCTTGCTGACGGTGTTCGAATGTCCCCACCGTTATCCTCTGATCGAGGTTGGACTGAGGGAGAGGAGTTTTTGGCATCATTTTCATCGTGTGGTGTGATAACGTCATTCGACGTAGGTGCCTGGGTCTGTGATTCGATCGTATCTTCAATTCTTAAGGCTGGGCTTTTGGGAGCCTTGCGAGCCACACCATGCATTTCTTCTTGCTCCCCAGAGTCAGACCTCTTCCGTTTGTTCTTGTTGGACATTGTGGACCCCGAAAAGGACGGTGACCTATGCGATTGACCGTCTTCTTGATCAATTGTGACATAGCCATTACCGACGTTTCCGTTCCCCTGTGTGTGTTCATCGCGATGATAATGTTGTGAGTCGAACGCATTTCGCACTGAGATCTCTGGGGACTCAGAATGTTCTTCATTGCCTGAGGAGCCACTTGTAGATGATGTGGCTACAGCCATTCCAGAAACCAATGACTCCTTCCCATTCACTGCTGTAAACCTAGAAGGGCTATGGTCCGCCCTAGATTCCTTCTCAGCGTCACAATCATTCACCACCGATGTAGATGCCACCGCTGCCATATCCGAGGTGTAATGGAGTTTAATGACCTGTCTATAGTCTAGTGATGGTATGATGAGAGTTCGACTATCCAAGAGCTGATTCGGAAACACCTGTCTTATGCCTGGCAACGACTGCCGCCAACTAATGATCAATTGTCGAAGGATCCGTCAAATATCTGCTCAGAGACTCCCTTATTTTTCGAGAACCTTGCACGACGAATTGCCTCATCTAAAGGGCCCAGAAAGCGACCAGGGACCCGGCCAGCTCCGCAAAAACACTGGCATGCACCCTGAAGCGGGAACTAGGGAGGATTGGCAAGTGCCTCGATTAGATATATGGTGCGTAGGTCCACTTAAACGGGAGACTGAACAGAAAACGGTGGTTTGAAAGTGGAGAGAATCAGAAGGTGTTGATTAGCGGACTTGTATGGCTATCCCGAAGCTTGTGCCATCGATGTGGGCTTGATCTAAGCTGTTGAGAGGGCAGTCCCGATGATAGAGACAAGGAATGGAAACTTGGCGCGTGAGAAAGAGTTGGCCTCAAAGCAGAGGCATAAAATGGTGTACGAGTAAAAAATATCGAAAAAGGAAGGCGAAAGGCAAGCCTCTCTCTTCAGGGCAGAACAGGTGATTCACGAATAAGAAAGGTGTACTATGGAGTAATGAAAATCATTTGAACTGCAATGGAGATGCTAGGCTAGGTTGGGCGCAAAGAAGATTTCATGTCCTCACTCGTCAACAGGCTATGCGGAAAGCCATGGATTCGAGATGGAGCGGTTACAAAGTAAAGAAGAGGGGGTAGGCGTCAAGGCCAGAAGGAGGGGGGGGTGGTAGCCGTGATTGTACTAGTAGTGGAGAGATGGAGGAAAGACAAGCGATAACAATTACTTTAAGTCAGCAAGTAGTATGTCAAAACGGGATATTAAACTGATTTTTTTTTTCGCCGCCTGCAGGTGGAAATCAAGAAACGAAGGCATTTCACTAAAGAGCCAATAGTACCTAGTCGTAATGGATAGACAACCCAAGAAGGAAAAAGTAAAGAAGAGCCTTCGTCTAGGGAGGGGGCGGGAGGGAAAGTAGTAGAAGCAGACAGTTGACGCTTCAGTCGACCGGGGGGGGGGGGGGGGGGTCGATGTAGTGGTCCTGCGTCTCGTTCATTGGATGTCGTACTTTCCTGGCGGCTGGAAGGATGCGGCTGCCAGCTGGCTGCTGAGCGCTTTCGACAGGGTTGAAGTTGACGCGCGATCGGCCATGGGCAGCGCGAAGCAACTGGTTGGCTACTCTACCCTGGGCCAGGAGCCTCTGGTTGGTCCAAGTTGAAGCTGGAAGACGCATAAGTTAGAGCGATGGCGCGCTCAGGCGACACGCCACCGTGGGAGGAGGTTTCAACTCGCCTTGGTTCGGTGGTTCCTCCACCGATGTCCATCTATCCGCGAGGGAAGCGCGGCACGGCGGCGGCGGAAAAAGTTCCAGGTGGGTCGAAGGGACCTGCGGGTTGACAATTCAGGTGGTGAGATGTGGGCAGACTTTCCGCCCGCTTGTGGATAGATAAATAGTACTGCGTACTATCTTAATACAGAGTAGTACCTACGGAATACTACTTTAGTACAGAGTACAGAGTTGTGGATACTAGATAGATATCTCCGTGCTTCACCTCTGTAGCTCTGTCGCTTACCGGCGAACGCCTCTCTCGCCAATTATTCGCTATTGGCGCCAGGCTGACAGTGGCCGCGGTTACTTAGTAGTACAGATATGCTATCTATCCATATTAAATATTTATAATTCCTACTGTGGATTATCTTACTTATTATAACTACCACAGCTATGTATAAAGTACGCCTTTACTATATAACATAACTATCACCTTTGTTAGTGACATATATAGATCCAGATTAGTTACTTGGCACAATAAATTATATCTACCAGTAAAGCAATATACTATTGCCTCTGACCAGTAAGGTAATATAGGGAAGAAATATCTATGGGTAGGAGACAGAACAAATAGTATGAATAGCCGTGATGTGATAGGGGTGAGGGGCAAAATAAGGCGGTAATAAAGATTTACCGGGCCGCGGATTAGAGCATTGGGAATAACTAGGCACCATGACAAAGTGCATCTGTGACAGGAAAGAAGATAAGAAGACGACAATAAAGAAAAACAAGAAGTTGCATACCATGTATCCCATCTTGATCTCCCCTTTCCGGCCCTACTACTATATGTATTTCAGAGCAGCTATTATTTCTTTAAGATTAATAGCTGGCCGGGAGAGTGGATGTTACCTAGAGTAGTATTTATGGTCTGTACTTTGTATGGCCCGCTATGGCTACCCGCAGCCAGCAACTTTGATATGTGAATACACTATAAAGGTTTACGAAACAGGCTACCGAATGTATATCAAGGATTTGAAGTTGCAATACTTATCATTTGCAGTACTCATATAGGTACATACTCATTTCATAAGCATAATATCCATAGACGGCATATACGTTGACAGTCGCTGGATATATTTCATCTAGAAAACATCCCGTGTGCTACCAGATATATCTCTGCCTACTTATAAACCCACCATACCCCAACTACTCCTCTGATCTTCGTAGTATCTACAGAGTATAGTATATAGGCTTATTTCTATCACATACCAAGTAAGTATAATATATATAGTTTGAGGAGAAGAAAATCCAACAAGCTCTTAGCGCCATTATCCGATATAAAACCATAGCCATTGAGTCAAGAAAGCAACCCCTTCGAAAGAACTTACACAATATAGTTATATAGTAGTACGTAACCGCCCTGAGTTCTGCTTACCAGTACACTCTACACTGAATATAGTAGTAGCCATGAATGCAGGCAGGGTTAGGCTTGGTATTCTTCCGAGAGAGGTATCTCGTATTACTTTGCAGTAAAGGTCTTCTTATCCAATGAAAAATGGTCGCTATGTTGATAGGAAATAAATTAGTCCCCCAATTGTAAGTAACTTGCTCTTATGTTTGTGTTACTCTTGTAGTTCACACTATATCTATACTAGTTACCCTGTATTAGTTAGGCTTGCCACTCTACCAGTCTACCTACTGTAGTTACTACCATAGGTACTCCGTACTAAGTTCATAGTGGTACAGATCAGATTACTTCGTACTAGTACTAACTAGCTGGGTATTGTACGATGACTAATCACAAATGGAGATACATCGCACCGACCCCGATACTTCTACGGAGTAGAGCAACGACAGAAGCGCTGTTCTCACCGCCAGTACTCCGTAGACATTGATTTTACAGGAACAACCATATCACAAGGCCAGGACTTACATCCAAAACTGTTGTCGATTACCCCACTTTACGTTCCCCCCTCGAAGCTCCTCGAAGACTGGTGCATTTCCAGCCAGTAGTCTGTTCCAAGCTCACTCACCCTACTTCCGACGAACCCCTCCAAGACAGCCTCTTACCCCACCATACATTCTGCCTACCTATTCTTTCTGCTACGCCCTTCAATATCAACGGCCTTCTCTAGACCATTCCGAGTCGCCTATTGACCTCGCTTGCTTATATAGTCTATTGAAGGCCGAGGTATCGTCAGCCTGGAGCGGAATGTCTGTTTCCATACAGGAGTTGGACAACACTGTCCGAGCCTTCTATGAGGGCAAAGGGGATTTGGTAAGTTGTGATAAATTGCATTTCATGACACTGCTTTCCAAGGAAGTTGCAATGAAAAGAACGACTGATTTGGACTTTCTTTTTGCCAGCAAAAACAAGCTCAGCAGACCCTTACAGAGGTGAGTAATATCAGTTGCATCGGCTCGCTCTCTCTCTGACTTGTTCTTGACCAACAGTTCAAGCAAAACCCGGATGCTTGGTTGATTGTGGGAAACATTCTGCAAGAATCTTCATATCCACAGACCAAATGTATGATTTCGGACATTTTCGTATACCATTTGATGGAGCGCGCTGATATTTTTAGACCTTGCTCTCCAAGTCCTCGACGATGTTATCATGACGCGATGGAAGGTTCTGCCCAGAGAACAATGTCTAGGTAGACGGTCTCACTTCACACTAATGACGGGTTTGATCTGACACTTCCAGGTATTCGGAATTTTATCGTCAATTTTATCATTGAGAACTCGAAATCAGAGGACAAGCTGCGGAGCGAACGGGCTTTTCTTAACAAACTCAATCTGGTTCTTGTTTCGATTTTGAAGCAGGAGTGGCCGCATAATTGGCCAACCTTCATCAACGAAATCATTTCGTCATGTCACACGAGCCTATCGATCTGTGAAAACAACATGGCAATCCTTCGTCTCCTATCTGAAGAAGTTTTCGACTTTTCGCAGGATCAAATGACGTCTGTAAAAGCGAGGAACCTAAAAACATCCATGACACAAGAGTTTTCTTCGATCTTTCAGCTGTGCTCCGAGGTCCTGAACACGGCTAACCAGCCAAGTCTAGTCAAAGCTACACTGGAGACCCTGCTTCGTTTCTTGAACTGGATCCCCTTAGGTTATATCTTTGAGACTCCCATTATAAACACTCTGCTGACGCGATTTCTGGATGTTCCCGAGTTTCGCAATGTTACACTCAAGTGTCTGACTGAGATTGGCGGATTGCAAATTGGCAACCCCTACAACTACGATGAAAGGCTGGTTCACATGTTCACAGAGACACTGACTGTAGTCTCAAGGATCATCCCCTTATCGATGGATCTCAAGCAAACTTATGCCAAAAGCAACTCGAGAGACCAAGAGTTTGTACTCAACCTAGCACTTTTCCTCTGCAGCTTCTTTAGCGCTCATCTCAATGTGAGTTCTTCGACTTCTCTACCCCAATGTGCCTAAGAGACTGAGAAATGTACTGATCCATCTAGGTCATTGAGAAATTACCTAATCGTGATTATCTCACGCACGCCCATTTCTACCTCATCCGTATCAGCCAGATCGATGATCGAGAGGTCTTCAAGATCTGCTTGGAATATTGGACAAGGCTGGTGCAAGAACTTTATGAGGAAATGCAGCAGCTCCCTATTACAGACATCAATCCCCTAGTGAGTATGGGTGTTAGCGGCCTTTCCAATGGAGGAGCGCCGCATCCCAGCACCCTGGCCAACTATCCACTTCGGAAACACAAGTATGAAGAAGTTCTCTCAAGCCTACGCACGGTTATGATCGAGAAGATGGTGCGTCCAGAGGAAGTCCTGATCGTTGAGAATGACGAAGGTGAGATTGTTCGCGAGTTCGTCAAGGAAAGCGACACTATCCAGCTGTACAAGACAATACGTGAATGCCTGGTCTATTTGACGCATTTGGATGTCGTCGATACAGAGAATATCATGATCGAAAAGCTGGCCAAGCAGGTTGACGGGTCTGAATGGTCATGGGCCAATTGTAATACTCTCTGCTGGGCAATCGGTTCGATCTCTGGAGCCATGAACGAAGAAACCGAAAAACGGTTCCTAGTCAATGTCATTAAGGATCTCCTCGGCCTCACTGAAATGAAGCGCGGAAAGGATAACAAAGCTGTCGTTGCTAGTAATATCATGTATATTGTGGGACAGTACCCGAGGTTCCTGAAAGCCCACTGGAAATTCCTCAAGACAGTGGTCAACAAGCTGTTTGAATTTATGCACGAAACTCACGAAGGTCAGTTACCCAAATATTCAGAGCGCAAGTGTCATGTCTAATTTAAACCAGGCGTCCAGGACATGGCTTGTGATACGTTCATCAAAATTGCCAACAAATGCAGGCGGCATTTTGTCGCGCTCCAACCGGGGGAGAATGAACCTTTCATTGAAGAAATAGTTCGTAATATGAGGAAGATTACCTGTGACCTATCGCCCCAGCAGGTCCACACTTTCTATGAAGCTTGCGGCTACATGATTTCCGCACAAGGTCAAAAGGGTCTCCAAGATCGGCTCATTGAAAATCTGATGTCTTTGCCTAACTCCGCCTGGGACGCCATCATTGTACAGGCCAATCAAAACCCTGCAATTCTCCAGGATGGTGAAACGATAAAAATCGTTGGAAATATCATGAAAACGAATGTTGCAGCATGTTCCTCAATTGGCACTTACTTTTACTCTCAGCTCGGACGTATATACCACGACATGCTAAATATGTTCCGCGCCTCCAGCCAGCTGATCAGTGATGCTGTTGCGCATGATGGTAAAAATACACCTATATTTCTCAATTACCCCACTCGTTTCATTTATATTATGCGGTCAATTCGTGTGACTCGGCCATTCTGACACCCTGTGATCCGCAATATGTTCAATTTGAATGCATTTCTCTGACTTTTGATAGGCAACATCGCGACAAAGACACCCAAAGTCAGAGGACTTAGGACCATCAAAAAAGAAATCCTCAAGCTTATTGATACCTACGTGCAGAAAGCTGACGATTTGGAAATGGTCAATGCAAACATGGTTCCTCCATTACTTGAGGCGGTTCTTATGGACTACAATCACAATGTCCCCGATGCACGTGAGGCAGAAGTCCTGAACGTCATGACAACGATAATTCACAAGTTGCACGTATGTTAGCCTGCATCTGAAACATATACTCGAAACATATTGCATCAGAAGCTGACATGTGTTCATCAGAATCTAATGGAAGACAAGGTTCCTCTGATAATGGAAAGTGTCTTTGAATGTACGCTGGAGATGATTAACAAAGACTTCCATGAGTATCCAGAGCACCGTGTCCAGTTCTTTAAATTGCTCCAAGCTATCAACTTGTACTGTTTCCCTGCGTTGCTCAAACTTGATGCCACACAGTTTAAGTTTGTGATTGATTCTTGCATGTGGGCTAGCAAACATGACAACCGCGAAGTTGAAAACACTGGCCTCACAATGTGCCTGGAACTAATGAACAATATGGCCGAGACTGATGCGCAGACCTCAAACATCTTCTTCAGTCAATTTTATATTCCTATACTGCAGGACGTATTCTTTGTTCTCACAGACAGTGATCACAAAGCTGGTACGAAGTCATGCACTGGTTTCTGGTATTACAGCGCTGACCATGTGATGCCACAGGATTCAAATCACAAGCTATGCTCTTGTCACGCATGTTCTACTTTATCGAGTCTGGCAAGGTTCAAGACCCAATCTATTCTCCAGAACAGGCTCCTCTGGGGACATCCAGCAAAGACTTTTTGCAAGAATATGTTGCAAACCTCCTGCAAAACGCATTCAAAAATCTTCAGGAGTACGCTCAACCCTACCAATATCACTTCTAACTGAATACTAATATCATAAAGGCTTCAAATTAAGCAGTTTGTTGTTGGGTTGTTTGCCTTCAATGACGACTTTAACAAGTTCAAGACTCATTTGCGAGATTTCTTGATATCACTCAAAGAATTCTCAGATGATAATGCAGACCTGTATGCGGAAGAAAGGGAACAAGCCTTACGCGATGCTAAAGCTGCGGAACGAGATCGTGCAATGAGGGTCGGGGGTCTTTTGAAGCCGTCTGAGATGGATCAGGAGGATGAGCTATGACTAGACAAAGAACTGCGCTCCGAATTTGCCCGGCCCTTAGGTGTTAATGTCGTGCTCCATAACAGATACTCCACCCCTGCACCCATCGATGAGTGGATCGAAGGGTGGTTTTGCTATGGATTTTGATTTTGATATGTTTGCTGCTCTCACACAACATACTGGCTCCACGGCGTATCCTTTGGTCGTCCTTGGCGACTTTCTACTGAGCTTCTATTTCTCCATCAGATGGACTAGATGTAATAACAGTCCCGAGTCTTTGCAAACGCCATGCCTGCCATATGCCATCGACAACCATTTGACTCCCCACCACGGCTAGATAAACAAAGTTTTTCATCAGTGCAGATGGACTTTTCACTGGGCAACACTAATTTTCTGTTCAAAAGGAATCGGCAAAAAAATCAAAAAGAAAATCAAAAACTCATCCTGCCAAAGATCATGTGTCCTGAAACTCTTGAGGCCTTTCGGGTTATTTAGCAATCAGGCATACATCCAACAATTTATTATTCCCGTGCAGCTGAATATAGCAACCTGTACCATACCTCTCATAGGATCGTAACATTCCATAGAACGTGACATCATCGCCTGTAGAATGCCAGAGTCAGAAGGCGGTGAGGCAATGCAGCCGTTTCGTAGTACCAACACATTTGGCAGTCTACCGGTGACTACTCCGTACTTGGACTTCGCGTGCCTTGACTTCCACGATCATGTCTCGGACCCGTCGCATATCACCAAATACAGCCAGCAGCTCCCAGGTGGAGTCGGCAGTGGAACAATACGTTATTTCATCGACTGATCGTGCCCCGGCAACTCTAAGGTTAAGAGCAGAAAACGAACCCGCTTCTAGAGGTATCGACCAGGGCGAGAACACCCCCCAGCGTATAAGGTGGAGTGAAGATGTCATAGACAATGAAGGACTCGGGAGGAAGAGTTCAAAAGGTAATATGGGCATAAGGCAATTCCCAGTCGGGCAAAATCTTGATCCTCAGGCTAATGCTTCGCGCGTCAATTCTGCGCCGATCACAGTATGCTGCATTTATCATAAAAGTCGAACCATCGGCGATAGCACCTCCGAGTCCGAATCTTCAGACTCTAGCACGTCTGGATCTGATTCGGATAGCGATAATGAAGTAGCTTGCAAAAGAAGGGAAGGAGACCACAAACCTCTAGATCAATGCAATAGTCACGCGGATCAAGGCCCTGGGCATGCGTCGAGAAGAGGGCGAGCTTCTTGCGATACCAACCACCATGGAGGGAGAGCCAAAAGGAGAAAGCCAAGTCCCAATGCGTACGAGAAGATGCCAAAAACGACCAATGCACGGGCTTAGAAGACAATTTGAGCTTGTCAAGGGTACTGGAATCTACTATCCAGATGGAATAGTTTGCCGTTCAGCATGGGCTAGTCAAACTTCGTAAGGAAACAGTGCTATCAATCCATGGAACTGAGGTCTCCAACTCAGTCCGTAGACAGTGGCATCTATCCTTGATATAGTTACTTGATCTTGCTGGAAGTTCTGTTTTGCTCCGCCGCGTGTGAATAAATCTCCAGAATCTTACGATCACCCGGAAAAAAAATACATGGGCAAGTCCAATATGGTATAGACCAGGAAAAAGCCATGCCCCCTCAACTATGATCCATCTTTAAACAAACTGCTGAAATATATGGCCTTGATTGTGATCTATGACAGGCCGAACCACAGTAGGATTACTCATGCCAGCCATGAGCATTCACAGCATCATGCTTTTCCTTCTAGCAGCAGCACGCCGACCGCGCCTGGATTCCCCAGCGTCGGCCGAGTTCAAGTGAGCCCGATAATCTTCTGCCGGACCAGGCATATGCGAGTATGGTTGCAGAACATTATTAGCGGGCTTTTGGAAAGCCACTTCTGCACACACCTCTGATGGCGAGTCATGGGAATTTTCTAAGCCCACCGTTGCATCTTTTAATGGATGTAATATCGCTTGCTCGGACGAGTCAGGGTTTGAAGAATGTCGCCTAGGCTGTCGGCTTGTTCTTGCTGCTTTGCAAGTACTAGTCAAGGGGCTACTCGTTTGGTGACCCAGAACTAGCGATGTCTTGGCCTCTCTTTTGTCGTTGTCCCCCATTGATCTCCCATAACTGCTTCCATTGGCTGTTCCACTAGCCACCCAAACGGCTGAGTCTTCACCGGTAGTTTCTGCAGTGATTCGGCGAGATAAATCGACACATCTACTTGTTGATGAAGTCTTGCGTTTCCTCTGAGAGACCATGTTGTTTTGCTGCATAGAGGAACTGGACAGTGCATTTGTCGATACGGAATTGGGGTCTTTGTCTGCACAGTCTGAATTCCGTGGTGTTTGAGTATTCATCATCCATCCATTTTCATCATCAGTTGCGTCTGATAGTGCCCTGCGAGAACTCGATGTCCGTCTTGGTCGGTCTTCAACAGCTGCTATAAAATTGTTTGTGGGCCGTCGCATCTTGTCCCGTAAGTTTGGCTCTGCATAACTTACGATGGCTCGTTGACGCCTCGTTGGCCTTGATGTGCTAGTGAAGACATCTACCGTTGTTTTCGATACATCTTGTGATGTATGATTTGCTGGCGATGGAGCCTCAGGTTCGGTTTCCAAGGTCTTTGACTCTCCTGTAGTCTCACCGCTGCTTTCTTCGGTTTCCCTTAGCCCCTTGACTGGATGCTGTCTAGATACCATGCACTCTGCGTGGTCTATGCCTACTTTAGGCTGCGATTGGAACGACATCCCTTTCCTTCCCATAACCTTTGTTTGCGCAGTTGCGGGGATCTCATATATTGGCTCTTGCATCTCAGCTGTATGTCCCTTTTTTGGAGAGCTCATACTGATATTTGTATTTTCTACTTCTTGTCAGCAAGTCAAGTTCGTAGGGTAGTATAGAATTCCACACGTACTATCATCAAGTACTTTTCGCTTAGCTCGTCTGTAAGTTCTTAACACGTCCTTGGACGGCTGAATCTTTCCCTCGGATAACGAAACCTCGACGCACGGTGATGAGCATTCCTCGACCGCAGCCGATAGCGGGGAGGACTGCTGGTTGGTTTGATAGCTCTCTTCTTGGGTAAAGGTAGACTCTGAATCTTCTTCATGTTTCATCGAGAGTTTTCGCTTCGTTCCTGGATTGAACTTAACCTCTGGCTCATGGTCTTCCAGGGACGATTCAGAATCCGTTGCAAGGCCGATTGACATGTCACCATGCATTTTTCGTGCTCTAGTCTCTAGTGTTGGGCGGGGGGGGATGCCACCCCTATCTGAAATCTGCGCACCAAACCCCATTCTTTCGGGACACTCAGAATCTTGGGGTTGGACACGATAGGGGCCATCATCTCCTACATTCAGTTGAAAGACCACGGGATTTTCCTGATTGCTCGGTGAAAAAGCCTCTGGTCCATTCTCTATCGTGACTTGCAGTTCCTGCGGCCTAAAAATTCTCAGCGACAAATTTCAAAACCCAGCATATCACTCGCTACTTACTCCAAGGTTTTTCTGGGATAAAGTTTTCCCTCCAAAATGACAGGTAGCCTGCCAGCTTCATTGTTCGTGGGGCTAGTAACGCAATTGATGGGTTTAGACCTCCAATCCAATATAGACTGGGTTGGTTGCTTCTGCTCTGCCAATACAGGTGTTTCGTCAAACTTGTTGCAAAGTCTGAGGGGCAGTGTACCCAATTCAGTCAACAAGCTATTGAACTCCAGAAGCTTGTTGTCTAGCTTTGCCTTGATGTCGTGAACCTCGTCTTTGAACGATTTGACCGCCTCATATCTTTCTACCTCCCGAGTAAGATTAATCACCTGCTCCCTAAGGGAAACATTCTCGGACAGAAAGTGAGAAACCTCGGACTCAAGACTGCGTATACGAAGAGACTGTATGGAATTCACTCTGGCAATCTCACGGTTCTGTCGCACAAATCGCCGTTTTACTGGCATGAAATAGATGTCAGGATAATTCAATCTATCAAGGCGTAGGAGCGGCATTGTTTAGAACTTACAGGCTTCAATGGGCTCTGCTGAAGCTGTCAATTCATTAAGACGAGCCATACTTCAAATGAAAAGACTGCCCTGCCTGATCTGTTACTTTCGAGTTAATGCACAATTAATTTCCCAATGCCCCATTAAACCATAGGAAGCCCGTGTTGATATTCTGCAATATAGCCAGGAATGGATAGGCGCTTTAATTGCAGCACAGTTCGAATTATAGATTCGAATTATGTGTTGGGGGCACAAAGGAGACGAGTCAAGTTAATGAAGTGGATGTGTGTGGCCAGAAGAGAGGTTGAAGTTGTTGACAATTGTCCTGATCAGGACTAGTGTGAGCTTGTCGGGTCGTCATCCGGGTAGTGTTAGGCAAGCGTAAGGGTCATTCGTTCACCTTGGTTGACTACCGGTACCCTCTTTCTAAACATGCAGACATATTCCCTTGGATCTTCATAATTATCAACAGTGCTTAATACCCAATTATTACTGAAAACCCATTTTCGATTGCTTACAGACAACTATTGAATTAACCTTGGTGTTGCCATGGCTTTTGTGTCTCGTCATGCCTCAACACTTCCTCCGGGAGCTTCGGCGACATCCTCACTGCGTCTGCCAAACCAACATTCTAATATAACCCAGCAGCAATCCTCTCTGCTGGCTTCGCGCATTGCATTGAAAAGAGCTGAACTGGATAACCTAAGGCAGCTTTGTGAAATGAGTGGCACACTAGCCTTGCAGATGCAGGCTTTGGAGAATAAAATAGGGACACTTAAGGATGGTGCACAAGGTTTGTCAACACATACCAGTATCATTAGATGTGCTCTAGCTTAAATTTGCTGTTATTAAAAACTCTAGCCGTTGCTTGTGTTCTTGCTAACTGGGACAATGTGCTGCGAGCGATTAACATGGCCTCCTGTAAGTTTGTCCTTGTTCATAAGTGCATCCTGTTAAAGTACGCTAACAAAGATTAATTGACAGCAAAAGCAGTAGGTCTGAACACGCAGACAGGGCTGACGTTGGATCCCGCAAATAAAAATATGCATCAAACTTCCTCAATGCCGGCCACCTTAGTGCGAATTCCTGTTTCCCAGCAGGAGAAACCAAGTGGAGAGTGAATTACATATATCTGGTGACTTCAAATCTTCTGGCTGGGAGACCCGTTTCTTACATTTACAGAGGTGTCTTCCAATATTATAGATCAAGGGCGCCTGGCTTGGGTTGAGACGAGATCACAGAGACAGCAGATTATTCATACCAACATATTTGGTCAGGAAAATGGATTCTGCACGGGCCCAGTTACCCATAAGGATAAGAGCTTCCATTGCTCGACTTGGAATGAGATCAAGATCAGATAATCTCTCATATCCTTTGGAATATTGTCCGAGATCCGAGGTCTCCATCAAAGCCAAAGGACTTCTACCAAGCATCTGTGACATCAGCATTGCAAGATAGCCTCTGTTTAAACTTGCCAAGTTGCGTATGGGCGGGCAAAAGGGTCTTTGTCTCAATAGTGAATTTAAGGTTAATACGCACACTGTGACACAAATTCAGAAAACTATTGTCGTGCTAGTATATATCGAATTGTATATTCTCATGCAATAGGATACCTGTTAAACATATTAAATTTAGTATCTTACTTTGTTCTTTTTTTTTTTGAAGGATGATATAGGCGACAACTCCTAAACTGCTACCACAGTGCCCCTCATGTTCCACCAACACTCTTGTCACAGGGGAGTATTTCTAACTATATAACTGCACACTGCAATATCTATTGATATAAAGGGCGGAAAAAGCGTTGACCCAGAAGCTAATATTTATGGCCGGGCTAAGTATATCTGTAATTATTTTCTTTTACTACTCTATACTTTATAGTATATATCTATTTTATAGTAAAAAAGCTTGATACTATAGAGTAAAATTCTGATAGATAAATAAATAAAGAAGATCTACTCTATTTATAATTTATTATATAATTAAATAATAAAGAAAGGCAGTGGACTTAGAGGACGGTAGACTTTTAATAAAAAAAAGTCATTTGAAAACTAGAGTATTATATAGCTTTGCTCTGCAAGCCTTCTAGGAAACCTTGGTTGTCTAGTCCCCTAGACCTAGTACTTTTTTATATATTCCTATCAAAGTTAGTTTGATCATCTATAATCAACGAATCAGTACTACTTATAACATGCTCACCACCATGTGAGTGATTCAAACCGTGCACATAGTATATGGTAGGTAATATATACATATACGCCCATTTGATGTGGGCTAGATATGCTCGGAATATTATAATCAATGGAGAACTAATTATTTATATAGAGAGACTACACAGCTCACTGCAGTCACTTTCACTTTTCAGTCAAATTTATTGATAACAATATATCAAACAAGTGCGTTTACTTTTAATACCATCTAACTACGCTTAGCTCCAAGCCCATATATATATATATATATATATATATGTTTGCGTGATGGAGGCGAGTCATTAGCCGGGGATGCGGAGACTGGAGACTGACGCGTATGATGGATGATAGGGATAGAGGGTACGACAGAGAGATTAGAGATAGAGAATTGAAAGATGATATATAAGAATGGCTAGTTGTAGATAAGAGAGAGAAAGAAAGAAGAAGAGATATTGTAATGATCAAGAGGGATATTCCAGCCGATATCTGAGAAGTTAAGAACCGGCGGTACTGATAGAGTGATATATCCATATATTTCTTTATATATCTATATGTTTAAACATGGCATCTGCCAAATATATACAGAGTATATCTACGGAGTACTGGCACTGGCCCTGACACAATCAAAAGTCAGATGGCCAATTAATCTCTCTTCATTTATTATTCTATCCTCTGGGCTGATCACATCCTCAAGGTGGCCCCCTTCAGTGAGACCAAACAAGGATTGCAAGATAGGACCCTGTCACCTCTGATATTGTTTATTTTTGTTCTCCGTTCCCCGAGGCAGCAAATTAATAGTCTATTTTTGAAGTAAAATGGCCTTCATATATTAGGGTAGCACTTCGGCATTGGCACCAATACTATATGAAGACGCCCAAACATACTCTCTTCAAAGCAAGAGTTGAGCCTGCTAAATTGGCAATTGCTATAATTCAGATTAGGTACGTGCAAAGTAAGACAGCCATATAAGCAGTCAAATCCTGGCTCAACGCCTTATTGTCATAATCTATCACTCCACCAGGGCCCGTAAAAGGGATTTCTCGTCCCTAGGAATGAATCTAACTTTATACTTCCTGGGGATTGCCACTAGACTTGTAGGATCCAAGTTGCTGCGTAAGGGATGCCAATCAGCTTCGCAGAGTGGTTCAATGTGGAAGGTGCTCAGGGTTCGCATGAAAATAATATATAGTTCACGGTTGGCAAGAAGCGAGCCTGCACACATGCGATAGCCCATTCCATATGTGAAAAAAGGAGCATCGGGCTGTTCAAACCATCGCTCTGGTCTGAAATCCTCCGGATCACTCCAGACTTCAGGGTCTATGAAGATGTATGAGTTGGTTGGTGTCCTGGGCTCATTTGTAAGTATATGGAATGGCAACTCACCCATATTGCAGGCCCAGGCATTTAGGAAAAACACAGTGCCACTGGGAATCACGGTCCCATTATATGTAACATCTCTGATTGAGGTTCGGGGGAGCGCAAGTCGGAGCACTGTGAAATATCTGTGTATCATTATCAATAATGGCGCCAAGGCGTTGAGTCGAGTATGGATGCTTGTCGAAGCTGTACCTCAGACATTCTCTCACCAGAGCAGCAACGTATGTGCATTTCTGATCATCCACGTGGTCACATAAAGGCTGATGCTGGCCATACATCATCTGAATCTCCTGCGCGGCCTTTGCTTGGATATCGGGGCGTTGGGAAAGAAAGCCAAGACTCCATGCCACTAAGGTAGTGATTGTATCAAGGCCACCAGAAAGCATAGTTAAGCTAATTGAAGCCAGTTCTTCTGTACTCAGTCTAGCATCCTTGTCAAGGATGACATTTGCCTGAATACAGGGCTTGTGGATGCCTTTTTCCATGCGCTCATCCAAGTCGCGATTCAAAGTTAAGAGATATTTATCACGCCGGTCCCTCATTTCTTTCGCTATCTTGGAGTGCCTGCTGAACGGAATTAGACGCAAAAGAGGGATATAGTCCTGCAGGTTCCCTGTGGTACTCCTGAATTTGCTTATCTCTTCCTCGACGTGGGTAATTTCGGTAAATAGGTCTTCCTCTTGAGACGCCACACGTACTCCCCAGTTCAAGGTCAAGGATAGACTCAAGCTTAGACGCTGAATCATCGCCATGGGGTCTACTGGTTCCTCCCCACCTTTTCCGTATCTGTGGAGCTCCTCCACAAAAGCTTTGGATTCCACGTCCAGATGCGACACGTAAGACTCCACAGACGGACGATTGAGAGCCGACGCGGCGCCTTTTCTGCGTCTCTTCAGTGATTCGCTGTACGGAGAAGTCCCGATAGTTGTACCAGTTGTAGTTGATACAATCTGAATTGCGACTGTAAGCTAGGTCTGACAGTAAACGAGATTTGCGGAAGCAGATACTGAAGAGGAAATAGACGGCATCAGAAGTTTGCATCCTAACTTACCTTATGGAAGGTATAAAACTCGGGTCTTGAGCATAGGGCTTGCGCGTTTTGACCGAAGAGAACCTTTGCCGCCGCCGCCGAATTTACAACAATGACAGGGATGTTTCCTAGTTGAATCTGATACACAGGCCCATATGCTTTGGACCAGACGCGATACTGCTCTGCAGCATTCGTACGGATTTGCGCAAGATTGCCAATCAAAGGGAGGCCACAAGGACCCTTGAGTCCCTTAACTCGAGCGGAGGCTCGAACAAATTCATTGATCAAGATATAAAGAATTGGGACAAGAATGGAGAATACAGCCAGTGACTGCAAAGAAGTGTGCTGGACTCCGTGGTACAGGAGAGACAAAGATGCAGCAATGGCCATGACAAACAAACAGGGCTGGTTACTACTATGGACAAGAGCAACTCTTGGTGGTCATGCAATAATTAAATCAGATACAAGACTGGGTATGCGAATATAACATAGCTTGACCTCTATAACACATCACAGGGTCACTATTGTTTCCTTCGCGCAGGAAGGAAATATTCCGCCGTGAGCAGGTTTTGCTTTCTCGCTTGAGTCCAGGCTGCAAAGGTGGACTGGTGGAGCATGTACTCTTACTTCGCCTACAATCCGGAGTACAACCAGACATCCAAGGTTAATAATTACTTGCCCGCACGGCAACCGAGGGATTTCCGCGCTCGGAAGTGTTCCGCTCTAGGTCTATCTATGGTCCTGCTTGAGACTGTTGAACATGATCAGAATCTTGACGGGATATATTGGCGCTTCCTCTGGTTTCATTCAGTATTCTAGTATATTGGTCAAAGACATGAAAACACGCCTCTTACAAATCACCACCGAACTTGGTTATAAGAACCGGCAATATATCGGAACTTACTCCGTCGTTATGGTACATATAAAGCCTACCCAGAGCCGCAAGACAAGACTAGCATCTGCCGGGGAGTTTAACTGTTGTCCTACCTGAGAGCCAACACTGTCAATAGAACCAAAGTGGCAAAGAGTGTGGGGGAATTCCCTGTTTTCAATGCAAAAGCCAGGTGTGTGATAGCATAGCTTCGTAGAGTAATAGATATTTGTGTATTGTATGTGCGGCATGTCGGAAATTGTGCGACCACCTTCTCATGAAGAACAATGTACTAGTGGGGGCGCCTCCTCGAAAGGAGAGAAAAGAAATCTCGTAGCCTGTATGTAGTAGTTGAAAATACATAGCGGGCCAACATAGTGTACACAGATAACAGCTTTGACTGCCAAAGGTACATATTAAATTGACTTGCATGTACAAAGCATGAGGTCGCACACCAAATTTCCATGACCACGACGAAGTTAGAAAGATGATTGAACACCCAAGTTTACACAAGAAGATTGTATCTTCTGCATATTATACAAGTAGAGATGGCAGGCCTTGTAGGGCTTAGGTAGCAGTCTTCACTTTTTTATGGCTTCCACCCTAGTATATGTTGAGATACCGTACTTAATTTTGTAGGTGATATATTAAGGGTGAATAGTTGTATTGTTATTTGACCGACTGCTTCATTTCTTACGCATTATCTTAACTACCTCTTTCCCTACCAATCTCCTCTTTCCTGGAGTAGAATGGCTTTCTTATGGGATTACCTACCTTATTGGTTTATTACAGTACGATGTGCCTCCAATCAGTTGCTTCAGGTAACAAGAGCAAAGCTTTGCTTCTATAGTTTTTATGAATTATTGTTAAGTACTCTGTGATGTTGCTGAATTTCTTATTATAATCTCATTAGATGTAGCAAAGATATACTGCTGCATGTGTTAAGTTAATTATAATAACTGTTCATGAAATGTTACCTAAATACTTAGCTAAATATTCAACTCTTATTTCCGTCCCCTGTCTTATTTTCTCTATCTATACCCTATACCACATGCAGAGTCTGTTCTCCATAATAAAAGTTCAAATAGAATGGCGGAAGGCCATATAATAGGGGTGGGTATATGTAGTAATTATTAGTCGGCCTGCAGCACCCTCTTGTAATACATTGGTTAGTATAGGAGTATCCTGTGTTTCCAGGCCCAGGGAAATTCTAAGATATGTGAATAAGAGGGTGAAAGTATATCAGTATTTATCTACCTACTTTTATACAATTACAAGTACTTTGCAGCCTATTTAACTCCTGTATATTAGGGTTGCAGATTATAAAGTAGAGAGTAGGAAAATCAAAGTTATATTACAATGAGTGCAAGCTCAAGTAGCATACAATATAGTAAGGAGGCAGTATTTATTTATTCCGAGTGGGAGATTTTGGCAGACACTGCTGCTATTTTCCAGGTCCTTAACTTCCTTTGATATATTACTTATTACTGACTAATGATATTGTACATTTTCTGCCGACCTTGTAGATATAATAGCAATGCGTAGTAAAATAAATATATTCTATTGATTGCGAGGTTTACATGTACAGAAAACTTACCGATCTTCTCCAGGGTCTGGGCCCAGGCTAGACAAGTGGGTCAGCTAGCTAATGTACGGAGTACAGCACTAGACAAACCGAAGAACAGGTAGTCCGGAAGTACTAGTAGATACGGGCGGAGTCGGAGTAGATACTTTGATACAACTCCGTAGTCCCAACCCTTTGCTAATAATAACAATAACTAAGGAGTACAAGGTAGGCATGATGACTTTAAAGTACCTTACTGCCGGATAGGCCATTGGTACCCAGGTTTACCTACCTCTTTTAGTTACCAATAGTTAGATACCCCTACTACAAACTACAGCACTTTAAGATATGTGCTCCGTTCGATGTATATGCGTATATACTGACTGATATTCTATAATAGGTTAGTAATCTCTCCCAGGGGCCAGGGAGAGTCAAAAAAAGGTGAAAGGTCGTGTGATCCCTGACTGAACATAGGCACCACAGTATACTAAGCACCGGCAACCTATCGACCTGTATACCACAGAGTTTATACTCCGTAGATATCCTGCGATCAACAGCTTCACCGAAAAGAAAAAATAAACCCAAACAAACAGCAGGTACTCCGGAGCCCAGACACTGAGAAAGGGGGTGTAGACCTCTAGACATGGAGTTGGCGGGAAGTATTGGGAAAGATGGAGACCAAGACGAAATCTTTGTTGGTCACATGCGGTCCCGGGCTCGGCCGCAGCGGGCAAATCACTGGTCAGGTCCATCCATGCTCGGGGCTGCCGAGCTGTTTATTGGTGGGACAATGCAGATTGATGCTAAGACACCGTCATAGCGACCCGCCCCCATTATTTCTCCTTCCAATCCACTCCATTCCCGGATTCTGCCTGCCGGAGACCCAGTACTGGTTTTCCGTACCTGGTAAGGTAGCTCCATGACGCAGCCGTAGCCACCGGAAAGAGGAAACGAAGGGTGAAAAAGGTGGAAGGTTACCCGGTCATCCATCCATTCCTCCATCTTTCAAAGTGGACAGGTCGTCCGGCATTCATATCTCTCCATAAACATCACTCACTCATTGTCCTCTCCTCTACTCCCTGCCATCTATTACCCTACCCAATTCCCACTTCTATCCCTTTCCCCCTATACCTACGGGGTCGACAAATCTATTCCTCCAACCATATCTCCTTTATATATTTCTGGCTACTGACATCTATTGTTTCGTCATCTACCGGCTCCGCCTCGCTGCAATTGTCTAGTAACCGTTGCTGTGGCAAGAGGTATGTGAACCTGACACCCTTAGTTGAATCTTTCCACCCGGACACTCGCGCAGGAATTATCCGCTAATATTTACAGAAGCCTTTCTTTTATCTTGCATACAGAACATCTCGCGGTAACCGCTCGCTGGTTTCTTAGAACTGTTGGTCAGAGACCCGACTTTCTCAATCACAATGGCCTCCCGTCAATCTCGTAGGGTTCTGCGACCTCTACTTTATACTTCGCTTGCTGCTGCGACAGGAGCTGGAGTTCTTTACATATCTTACCGCCCTCGCAATATCCCTGGCTCGGAAGCCCCCGCTGTTCCACCACCGGGTTACCACGAAGGCAAGCTAGTGCCCCCAAGCTTCCCATCAATCAAGTCCCGTCTTGAACAAATCCAAGACCTTAAACGCTCTTCCGGTGGAAGTGACTCGGATGAGTATGATTTGCTTGTTATTGGGGGCGGCGCTACTGGGTCGGGAATCGCTCTCGATGCTGCCACACGAGGTCTAAAGGTTGCCATTGTTGAAAGGGACGATTTCAGCGCTGGGACGAGTAGTAAGAGTACAAAGCTTGTACATGGTGGTGTTAGATACCTGGAAAAGGCCGTTTGGGAGTTCGATTATAACCAGTTCGTTTTCCCTCTACGTCCCTGTCGAAGCCAAGTCCCATTTCAAGTGAGACACTGACCGTTTTGATCGACTATAGATACAAGCTCGTCAAGGAGGCCCTGAGGGAACGCAAGTACTTCCTGAACACAGCCCCTCATTTGTCTAGCTGGCTCCCTATCATGGTCCCAGTGCAGAAATGGTGGCAGGCGCCTTATTTCTGGGCGGGAACCAAATGTTATGATTTTTTGGCTGGGTCAGAAGGGATAGAGAGCTCCTACTTTCTGACCAAAAGCAAGGCCATCGACGCGTTCCCCATGCTAAGGAAGGACAACCTTATTGGCGCCATGGTATACTACGGTATGTATACTTTACAGTGGACCTCCGTGCTTTTGACCTCCGATTATTAATAAAATTGCATTCAGATGGTGCCCACAATGACTCCCGAATGAATGTTTCCCTTGCAATGACGGCGGCGCTGTATGGGGCCACCGTTGTCAACCACATGCAAGTTACTGGCTTGACGAAAGATGCATCCGGCAAATTGAACGGTGCCCACCTCAAAGACCTTATTCCTGGACGGAATGGTCAGGATGAAGAGGGGTTTACAATCAAGGCAAAGGGGATTATTAATGCAACCGGTCCCTTTACCGACTCAATCAGAAAGATGGATGAACCTGATGTGAAGGAGATTGTGGCCCCTAGCTCAGGTGTTCATGTAATTCTCCCCGGATACTACAGCCCTTCGGATATGGGTCTCATTGACCCGTCAACATCAGACGGCCGTGTGATCTTCTTTCTGCCCTGGCAAGGAAACACTATTGCTGGTACAACAGATCAGCCGACCGAGATCACTCCCCAACCTCAGCCGTCTGAGAAGGATATTAACTGGATTCTCTCTGAAGTGCGTGGTTATCTGGCTCCAGACATCAACGTTGAACGAAGTGATGTGCTTGCCGCCTGGGCTGGAATCCGGCCCCTGGTGCGTGACCCCAAGGTGAAAAGCTCCGAAGCATTGGTACGCAATCACCTCATATCTGTCTCTGCGTCTGGGCTCTTAACATGTGCTGGCGGCAAATGGACCACCTATCGGCAGATGGCCGAGGAAGCGGTGGATGAGGCTATCGACGTTTTTGGCCTGAAGCCCCCGGGAGTGTCAGGTGCCCCGGATATCAGTGGTGTCGGAGGAAGTGGCCTGGTCTCCGACGGTGCTGTTCTGGACGGATCCTGCCAGACCCACCAGGTTCGCCTAATTGGGGCCCATGGCTTCTCCAAGACCCTTTTCATCAACCTTATCCAGCACTTTGGGCTCGAGACAGATGTGGCCAAGCATCTAACGGAATCATACGGCGACAGGGCATGGCAGGTTGCAGCCCTTTCCTCTCCAACTAGCACCCGCTTCCCCGTTAGAGGCCAGCGTATCTCCACATTGTATCCGTTTATTGACGGCGAGATTCGCTATGCGGTACGACATGAATACGCGCAGACTGCCATTGATGTCATCGCTCGCAGAACTCGTCTAGCATTTCTCAACGCTGAAGCAGCGCTCGAAGCTCTTCCTAGCATCATCGATTTGATGGGCGAAGAGTTAAAATGGGATGTGTCAAGGAAGGACACTGAGTGGAAAGAGAGTGTCCACTTCCTTTCATCCATGGGTCTTCCAAGCAATTTCCTCGGTATGACCAGAGAGGATGTTGAAGCAGGCATAGTGAAACATATTGACATTGCACAAAGGACGGCTTTCTCTAGGACTGGTAAGTGAAAGCAATTGGAGCTTCTCCTCAGAGTTGCTAATTGATGATAGATTCACCCGCAGATGTGCTTGAGGGTGATATCCTCACAACTCGTCCAGCAGATTCAAGCAGGCTACAACCTGAGTCCCCAGCAAACAAATAGAACCCCCATGAGCCATAGAATATTTTATTTACTTTATATTTGTATAAATAAACTAAATGCACACTTTGTGCCATGGTGTAATCTTTCGCAGTTTGCTGCTTTGTACTATTTCCCATCATTTTTCAAGACAAATACTAGGTATCTGTCACAGTGCAATCCCAGGGAGGCTCTGCAAAAGCCTTCCGCAGACCCTTCTGGATACTGTCAGTGTAATCCCAGGATACTGCCGGGACTGTCACAGTGTAATCCCAGGATACTACCGGGACTGACCGCTGAGTATATAATATAATCTCTTATCAAGTTAAAATCTACCTGTCTCTGGAATCTTGTTCATAGTCTCAAGTTATATTTTATTTATTATTCTATTTCTGTATCTAGCCTGATCAGCAGCCAGTTATCTAGATATTCTGTTAATGATTATTATCTATCTGAACTATTTTTCTATTACTTTAGTCTGTCTATATTTTAATACTATATAGCTTCTATCTTAGAACAGATAATCTGATTAGATATCTGCTATTTTATAATTCTTAATCAGTTCTTATAAATCTGAAGAATTTATATACTATATTATTAAAAATTCAGAAGACTAATATAATTATTATAACTATATCTTAATCTTTTATTAAAAGCTGATTATAATCAGTCCTGTCTTTAGTAAGATCTTGCTGTAAAGAATATAATAACATAAACAGTCTATTAAGCTTAACAGATTACAGATATTAATTAATAGTTTATTAAAATATTTATTATTAAAGAAGTTCCAGTTAAAAAAAAGAATCAAGCTCTAAAGAATATATTAAAACTATTCAAATTATAACATCTAATATCTACAATTAGTATCTTTAATTAGATATTTAAATCTATTACTAAAACTGCTGCAGCTATTTTAATAAAAGCAGCTTTATTAAATAATTCAGACTTTTCTATCTCTATTCTCTACTCTTCTCTTTGAATATATTTTTAATTTTAATAAGTTTAAAGATAATTTTACTAATCTTATTTGATTTATATTCTAAATTAAAAATATAAAAAAAATATTTATTAATTATAATTAAGATTTTATTTTATAAATTTATATATTCTATATTATCAGCTGCTGAGCTGTCTGAAACAGTTAACAGATTTTATATAACTGGATTTAATTTTATATTAAAAATAGAAATTATATTCTAATAAATTATAGCAAGATTATAAATTTATTATAATAAATTAGAGTGGCTAACAGCCAGAATAGAATAGATTAATAGAAAAATTTATATCTGCTGTCAGATTTAGAGTGGCTAACAGCCAGGGTAGGTTAATAGTAACAGTTAAAAAATTTAGATAATAGTTAAAATATTTTATAAAAATTAAAATAAGTATATAATTATTATTTAAATAATAAATATAATCTAAACTAGATAATTATATAATTAATTTCTAAATTATATTATATATAAATATTACTATAAAATATTTAATAATTAAAAATTATTATATAAAATATTTAATAATTAAAAATTATTATATAAAATTAATTTAGAATAAATTGTATATAATAAGTTTTAATTATTAAATATTTTAAAAATTGATTTTATAATTATCTAGTTTAGATTATTCTTATTATTTAAATAATAATTATATATTTATTTTACTTTTTATAAAATATTTTAATTATTATCTAAATTTCTTAACTGTTATTATTAACCTATGTCCTACCCTGGCTGTTAGCCACTCTAAAAGCAGCTAAAAATAGAATAATTAATTATCTTAATTATTTTTAATATTAAGATTAATTTATTATATTTTTTAGATCTTAGCTTAGATAAAATATACTCAGATTAATTCTTAATTATTCTAATTATTTATATTTTTATTAATAATTTATACAAAATAAATCCTTTTAATCTTAAAAATAATTAAAAAACAGAAACTAATATATATTATTTAATATTATCTTAATTAATTTAAGATTAGCTTAAATAATATATATTATTTAATATCATCTTAATTAATATAAGATTAGCTTAAATAATATTAATAATAGAAATTAAGCTTTTAATAAAAAACTATTTTTATAATATAAATTTAAAATTAATAATAAATATATATATTTATAGCTCTATTTTAATTATATATTATTTATAAATTATTAATATTTATTATTTTTTAAATAATTCTCTAAGATTAATAAATCTCTTAATAATTTTTTTTATATAATAATAACTAGATTTATTATTTATTTTATTAATTTAAAAAATCTTTTATATATCTATTATAAATCTAGATAATATAAATTATTTATATTATTTTATTATAATATTCTATATTATTTTATTGATTTAATCTCTTTAAAAATTTATATTTTAAAAAAATTATAATAGAAAGACTTAAGTAATTATTAATATTTTAAAAGAATTTATAAAAGCTTTTTATAATTTATAAATAATTCTAGATTTATAGACAGCTTTTATAAGATTATTCTATATAATAATTATTAGATATTATAAAATCTTATTTATAAATAAGACTAAAAGATATCTTTAATAAAAACTTATTATTATTTTATAACTTTAATATATATAAACATAATAGATTATATTTTTAATATATATTTAAAAATAAAATAATATTATATTAATAGAACTTTTCTGATTCTTTATTTTTTTATTATTTATATAAATAAATAAATTACTAAGTTAATTATATTTCTGTATTATATATTTATATATCATTCTATAGTATTTAATAGTTAATAACTTTAGAACTAGACTATTATAAGTTATTATTTTTATAAGAATTATAAAAAATAAATATCTTAATATTTTCTAAATAAACTATTAAATATATATTAAATAAAGACTTATTATAGATTGATAATTATTAATTATAATATTATAAATACTAATCCTGGAATTCTATCTCTATATAAGATTTCTGGATTCTTTAATAAATTATTATTATTAATATTTATTATAATATCTCTAGATCTTTATTATCTATAATAAAAAAACTTTCTTAATTAAATATTATATATTTTTATTATTATCTACTATTTACTGTCTGCTGTTTGCTGTTTTAAATTATTAAGTATATTTAATTTAAATAAATAATTTATCTTATTATTTTAATATTTTTCTGAATATTTAGTGTTTTTTATTAAATATAAATTAAAAAATATCTCTTAAAGCTATTAGAGAAGATATATATCTAATTATTATTTAAATTTTAAAATAATAAATATATATTAATTATAATTAATTATTAAATAAATTTAGATTAGAAAATATTTCTGATTTTAACTAAATATTTTTTAATAAAAAATATAAATTATTATAAGATTCTCTTAGACTTTTAATTAATATCTAAATCTTATATTAATAAAAATCTAATTAATATTATTATAGAATTCTCTAGATATTATCTATAAAAATCTTTGATAAATAATACTAGACTTATAGACAGCTTCTATATAATCTTTTTATTATTATAATTATTAATCAGAATATATATAACATATATTAAAAAATAGCTTAAATAATAATTTATATATTTTTCTTAGTAATTTAATCTTATTATATTTAGATTTCTAGTATTATTTATATAAGTTTAATATAGAATCTATTAGACTACTAGCTGCTGACTATTAATCAGAAAATAAAAAGAATTAATAATTATTAACTAATCTAATTAATATCTTATCTAAATTATACAGTAATTAAAAATATATTATTATTAATATATTATTTCTATAAAATATTTATATACATTATTAATTAATCTCTAATTATTAATTTCTTAATTATATCTAATTTTTCTAATTTATAGTTAAGATTAGATTAAGATATAATAATTAGATATAACCACTCTATAATAAGTTTTTTAAGATTTTAAATTAAGTTTATAATATCTGTCTTAACTTATATTATCTGAAATAAGATAATTAAGAATTTAATATTTATTTTATTAAATTCTAATATTTAATTTATAAAGCTAAAATATATTTTAATCCTTTATTCTTTCTTTATAGTTTATATTAAAAAAATATAAATTATAAACTTAAGATTATATTTCTAAATAATATTTAAAAGAAATTATTATATTCTAATATTTTTTTGAATTTCTGAATAATAAAAGACTATAATATATTTTTAAATCTAAGATTTAGATATAAAACTTTATTATTAATCTAAATATTGATATAATTCTTAGAAAAACTTTATAAAAGTTTTTCATAAATTCTTTTAATAAAAGAATCTTTATTTTTAATTATAATCTAATAGAATCTTATAAAAAATATTTTTACTATAGCTGTAGTTAATATATAATTTTAAATTATCTTAAATTTAATATTTATACTTAGTTTATTAATTATTTAATATATTCCATCTTTTGTAGAGAATATATTTATCTTATTATTATTATTTTTTATTTATAATTAATATTTATTTAATAATTTAAGATTTTATATATTATTCTATTCTTTTAATATTTTAATTATTAAGATTAATATAATTTAAGTATCTTTATCTTTTAAATCTAAATAAATAATTAAAAGAAATCTGTTTAATTTAAGTTATTATTAGATAAAGCTTTTAATATATATATATAATATATATAATCTCTAAATTCATTATTAAAAACCTTTAAAAATTAATTTTATAATAATATTTATTATTAGAGTGGCTAACAGTTAAAATACAGGTTAAAAACTAATCTTTTAAAAAGTATATTTAGATCTAAATAAATTATAAAATATAAGTTTTGAAATTAAATTTAAAAAGATATCTAATATTTATTTATAAATTATATTTTAAATATTATCTAGTATAGCTAGTCTATATTTAATATATAATTAATTAATTCTGGACTTATTCTATATAATAATTATTAAATATTTTATAGTAATATATATATATTATATAATTTAGCAATTAATTATATAATTATTCAGTTTAGATTATACTTATTATTGAAATAATAATTATATATTTTACTTAATTCTTATAAAATATTTTAACTCTTATCTAAATTTCTTAAGTTGTTAACTGTTATTATTAACCTATCCTGGCTGTTAACCACTCTATTTATTATACTT